ATCTGTAATTGCATGGGTATTGGCATGGTAGTTGGGGAATTCCAAAGGAGGCGAATACCTGCATGCAAACCGAAGAACACGCACGCGTCTGATTTACGCAGCTTGGAAAACGCTAGGCGGGTTATGGAAACGTTGCGGAAACGTGGCTCATGAAATTTCAATAAAATTGTTACCCTCGACGAAAACTTCTTCTGCCTCTAGTTACACTTCGGCCGTGGAATACGTAGTAACTGCCGTATTCTTAAAATAAATTCCCTAGGATGCACGTGAGCAGGGAAAAATCGATAGCAGTCAGTTGCAAGTGATACTCGAGACAAATGGTAAAGTCCAAAGTTTATAATGACTTTTAAACGTAATAAATTAATCGGCGTTAATTGTGTATTTAATCAAATTTCAATATTCATAATAATAAATAAAAACTATAGACATAATTAAATAAACGACAACGACCGATCTTCCTCTTGATTGAGTCATCAAGAAATTATGGTTCATCAATTTCATAACGTACTCCAAGAGAAAACATGTGATGACCACGTGGTGCCTGACCTACATCAACCACATGACTTCCACGTTGTACTTCAGAGTCCGGACCTAATGAAAGTGACGTAAAGAAATAATGGGAATTTAATACCAATTTCCAACAAAAAATTTTGATTTCAAGAGTCTGTCAATATTTTCGAAAATCAATTCAATTTCATCAAGCAGGTCGCTTTACGGACGACGATACCGTGACGCTCTTAAATTTTTTTTTTTTTTTTTCTTCAACAACCAAAACGCCATCGCCATTTCAGATAAAGCGAGATTCAATTTCCTTCTTGGTTAGGAGGAAAAAAAAAGATATGCATTTTGCTGCGGGTAGATACCACTGCCATGTACCAAGAGGTAGTAGGGGTTGGTTCCAAGATAACTTTGGAATACGTGGAAAAGCTACCCTTCGCCGAAGAGTGAATGTACAACCCCCACGATTTCATCCGGCGATGCCAGGGGTAGTGCCAGGGGCAGAGCCAGGGGTAGCTTCACGAGAAAGAGGGCAGATGGGTGTATCCGTGTCCCAGCCTCTCCAGTACCATGGAAACAACGTACAAGAGCGTCTAAACTTTTGCAAGGACCGAAAAGGCACGAAGACAAACCCGAGGTATCCCGAACGTACGAAAATACGAAGAGGCGCGATTAGGTGACTAACCCTCTATTTGCTAACGTGCCCCGAAACTTTCGGATAAGCGTTTATACGCGTGCTTATTGATATAGCCCAAGCAATTAGCCCGTCTGGGTATTGTGTACCCTAGGATTATGAAGACCCGTTTCCACGCGAGATAAGTCCAAGCGGAAGAATCGTAGCGACGTTAGAAGAATAATAATGAACCCATGAAAATAATGAACAATTAGTGCTATTGAATCCCGCATAATTCCTGACCAACGCACACAATCTAGAAAATAAAGTCCGTAAATTCAAAATAGACCAGAATAAAAATTTGGAAAAATTTTATGAAACGAAAAAAAAATGCTTAAAACGAAATTCAAAGCGTAAAGGAACGACTGAGCTTTTACGGCTATGAAAAAGTCATATCGTTATGGTACCAACATTTTCCTCCATTAAACGTTCAGGCTTCGGGATATCTCAGCGGGGCATTACGGTCTCATTATCCTTTTCCAGTAAAGCGTCTACGACGAGACCCTATCGCTACGAGAATACACGTCTGCACAAAGCGTCGCGACGCCTCTTGCGAATTCCACGGTTACCGAGAATGTTTAGAAAACTCTCTGACTCTCAGTGTCTCTCTCTCTCTCTCCCCCCGCCCCTTTATCTCCCTCTCCCACTATCTCACAGAGAGAATGAGTCGACGAGTAGTAACCCTACTGGGACATAAAACAGACTACTGCCTTTATAGGAAACTTCCTCGCGTAGGCATTTGCACCTTTTTCATTTAACTTTTACAACAGCCAAATAATCAGAAAAGACAGAGATGATCTTCGTCTCCTTAAGCGATTTCATTTTACGTTATTACGCGTGCAGTGTATATATAATGATATACGAGGCAATGCGTGCATCAGGGAGGCGTCCATCGACGTCGGGACGGATTTTCCATGCCGAAAAAGCGTCGAGCTTCCCCCTTCGGTGTTTCTATGTTTGCTGAGCGCTGACACGTTTATAAATGGAAACGCGGCGTTTCCGTCTCTTTAGGAGACGAGTCGCCGGGTACTGTTGTTATTATTATTACTATTATTACGCTATTTCCAGGATAATCGTTCGTGAACGAGAGAAGCTGTATTAAGGCTTTCTCTAATTTATACATGTTTTTACAAATTCGAATATACACGACGGATGTAATTAACGGAACAATTAACGAAATAATTGCTACTGGCAATGTACCCAAACTACGTTACAGCGATCAGAGTGGTGATTTTAGATTGAACTGTTATAGCATTAAAGCGAACTTGTATTGAAAATGAATTTCTTAAGTCTCACGTACCACATAAATTTATAATTAACAAAATAATTTACCACTGTCCAAACAATTAGGACCAAGTACCCTTAAGCAATTGGTATGGCGCCTACGTTTAGTATACCGTGACGCAAATGACAAACCGCTTGAATCACTGTCAACCGCCAGGATTAGTCCGATGTTTCTACAGGGTGATTCAAAATCAGCGAAACAGATTTATGGGTTACCTAACCAGACCTAAGCCACCGACCCTCATCTCGTGCCATTATCGGCGAAGGTGGCTGCCAATCTCGTAGCAGATGTCAAAGTCCTTGGATGCCCATAGAAAGCAGCATGGGACGAGTCAATGGCAAATGAATGGAGTAAGATTGCCAGATACTCGCATAAGTGCAGTACCGGTTTTCACGTATGGTATGACGTCAGCGTGCACTCCGGTCATTAGTATGCCTTGTAGGAAACGTCAGAGGACGTTGATTGTGGAAAGTGGGGAAAGAGGGAAAAAGATGGCAGAGGGAAAAAAGTGACGTCACGAGGGACAAACATCCCTTGTGTCTCCCTCTCGTACTTTTTAATCTTGGATTCTTTAGGTCCCTGACCGAAGAGGAGAGAGACCCTCTTGAGGTATATCTACTGGGTCTCCTACTTCTGGTTTTTTTTTCTCTATTTTTTTCCATAGCCAACTCTTTCCTCCTTAAGTACCCGGACTTTAGTCTCTTAGTCCACAATTTCTGTCCCTTTCGCATTTGGAGGGACCATCGGATCAGGACGGAAACTGTGGCTCCTTCCGGGCAAACGTCACTCAAAGATTTCACTCCAAACAGTCTCAATGTCGGTTTATGCCCGAATTACGGATTCACTCAGGGCTAATTTCCTTTCAGGATTCTCACAGAGAGGTGAGGGCTTAAATTGTTTTTTTTTTTTATAAAAAATAATTTGGTATTTTCAAAAACTCTCGCGTTACTCCCAGACGCATATGGAGTATTTGCTCATTGGAAAACGTCATTTCCGCAGTTTATTTAACTGGGGTAGTCAAAGACGGGGGAGTGTTAAAATAAGAGAGTAAAAATGTTCAGAATGTACTTCTCTTCGAGATTCTTTGCACTTGGTGTACGCGTGAACTTGTGTAATGTTGACTGAAGACTAATTGAGGTAAAAAATGTAGAAAAAGGGTGTTACAGAAAATATTTAAAAAAAATGATATAAAGTCAAGAGAAACAAAGTGACGTACGAGGTGCACGAGGGAAATTTTTAATATATAAAAATCAATCTGGTCCTGGATCTGTTCAAAATTCCCCAGATAATTTCCTGTGTATCGACAGCGATACCAACTGTATTTCACGGAGATATGCGCGTGTATATATGCTCGCAAATTGGATTAATGGATCGGTTTGAGAAGCGCGTCGGAATTAATATCCGTTTGGTTAGTTACCAGAGATCCGATACGAGGGCTTACGATTGATCATCCTCCTATAATACTCCAGATACACCCGGTTCCACATACCAAATATGGTACATTAGGGACCTTGAATAAAAATTATAAGGAAAAAAAAATTTTTAATATACCAAAAATTCCATAAAACCCACAAAAATTTTCAACACCGTGGAATAAAAAAATTATTGACATTGCGCAACCTTATCAATTTTTCTGTCAGACTTCTGATGGCTCCATCTACTTTCAAAAGTGAATCCATGCAACGGAGCAGGAAGGCAAACTAAGAAAAATAATCTTTCAGTATATTTCCCTTGTCTGAAGCACCTCGTTAAGAAACACAATTGACAAGTGTGTTTCGTGGCTGTAAAGATCTAGCGTGCTTTCTCATTCTCTGTCTATTCTCGCCAACGTACTAAATTCAATGTACATTGTTGATATAACGTGGAATAGGTATGCTGGAAATTGGTACTGAGAGATCCTACCAGTGAGATATACCCGGTGAGCGTAGAGTAAAGGAACGGAGTGAGAAAAGGTCCATAGGAACAACGCGGGCCACATCTCTCAGCATCCACACACACCAGCCATTCCACATTCCATTCGACGCTGCTCTCCCTCGGCACTATAATGAAGTCAGTCCCAGCATCTAAACCCCAGTAATATCGTGTGGCTGCGCGAAGATAATATTGGTGATGTATGCCAATGGGTTTTTGAAAGTACTTTTCACATGGCTGTATTATCATTGCATATATAAAAATATTTCCGTGTATAATCCCATGGATAATTTAAATAAGAACCTCAAAAATATAAACGATTGTACAATATAGATATAAGAAATTAAAATTAGCCCAAAAGTATACGTTCCTATTAGATACAGAGTTTGGTGGTGAATTTAGAAAATTATAAAATTCCATTAAAAAATATTTTCAGCTATCCACATGGTCTATCTACATTTATCAGCCAGATAAACGTAGATTAGTAAAATGGAGTGGGTAGAAAATAAACGTTGTTTCATAAAAAAATTCCATTTTACCACCTGTGCATGTATTCGTGTCACGAGAAATTTAATTTTTTTTTGTATTAGAGAACTTATTTTGAAAAGTCAAAAAATCATTAAAAATCTTAACCTTTATGATGACGCAGATGAGAACGTCCGCAGCAGGGCTGTTCGAAGTAAGCGTGTCCTGCATGAGCTCCTGCCGGTCTATTCGCCAGGACTCCAAGCTGGCAGAGAGCAGCTGCCAGAACAGCTGCCTTCACAAGCACCATCACATCCGGTAATTTTCGAGGCATTTTTCTCGACCCTTCGCAACACATTCAACAAGAATATCCAGGTAGGAGCAAATCGTCTTCGACAACGACAAAGCTGCACGGGAATTCACCGATAGCCAAATTGACGCTCGGACCGATTTCTTTAGACCGTTTGGGCAATTTCTCCCTTTTACTTCATTTTCCGTCCTCAGACTTTTCGTTCTTTATCCACGCGAAGAAACGCAGGATGCTCTCGGCTCGTACTGATTTATTCACGCACGAAGCAGACTGGTCACGGCTCTAGACAATTTGGCCTTGAATTTTCTTATGGCGTGGTTGTTGCCCTCTCGAGCAATGCGAGCAGACGGACATTCACCGGTTTAAAGTGCGTCGTCCGGTTCGCCAGGTATGAAACTCGGCTGCACTAGGTCTTTCGATGGAACAAAGGAATTCTGGTGGCAGGTAAAATCCGTGAGAAAAAAGAATGAGAGATAGAAATGAAGGAGAAGGAAAAAGAAAAATTCCCTGTGAACAGGAAAGACTCGGGCTTCCTCCTTCTGAGCGATGGAGCAAAAATTTTTGCTTTTTCTTTTTCTTTTATCTTTAACGAAAATCCACTGTTCTCCAAGCCCTGGTTAAATGCTGCTGATCGAATGCTCAAACGTCCAGGGCAATTTTCTGTACTGGACTTATCTTCTGCCAATGTTTAACTATTTCTTATCAGGCCACTATCGATATCACTGTTTATTCATAACAAGTATAGTATAATGCACACGGTACGTTACCGCTTTTCCTAGTCACAAAGGATCATTGCGTCACCGTTTCATATCCCATTCGAAGCACCGTGCAAATCGTTAAATAAATTCAGACGAAATGTAACGGGTAAACGCGGCAAAAATCTTGACGGCTGTTATTGAATTTTGTGGTTTATGGTAAATTAGAAAATCGACGGCAACTAAATATAAAGGAAGGTACCCGTCGCGTAATGTCACATTTGGTTCACGAGCTTGGTCGACGCTTTGATTATTCTTGATAATCACCAAATGACTTCTATCGAATGTACATCGTCGGATTTTTTATTGTTGATGATCTTCATTTGTATTTTTCACTCGATACTCTACTTATGTTACACGCATTTATTGTATTTATTGTTAAGATCATGTGAGAGCGACTATCGAGACATTGCTTGAGGATGACACGCGTTTATTTTGGATTATTCCGCAGCACAGCACGAAACGATCCTCCACTTCGAGAGGCCGCGGCAGAACTGTTACCCTCTTTCATGGCTTGCCGCGTTGAAGCCGTTTCGGAGCAGCTCGGCTACTCTCGGCTGTTTCCGCTTCCGACGCCTGTACTCGCTTCACGGACTATATAATCCACGTATACCGTCCAATCCGAATTCTCGACTACTACCGAGTGCACCACTCTCCTATGGCTATATCCGAATGGGTTTATAAGAGTGAATATTTTGATAACTTTGAAAAAGCTGATAAATTAATTAAATTAATAATTTACAATTATTAAAAAAAATACAATTATTGATTTACCGATAAAAGTTTACCTAAAATAATAATAAATTAATAATTTTTTAATTTTCAGATTTTTCACATTTTTTTAAAACTTTTTTCTTAGTGTTATGTATAGGGAGATGCAGCATTTCTTCCTTCTTTTTCTTTTTTTTTTTTCTTTAAGGGAGTTGTAAGACGGAGTGAAGCGGATATGAATAAGTCGATATGCTAATGCGAAACCCCTCTTGTAGTTGAATAAGATGTGGTAAGGGGATGAAGTTATGTACAGCATCCGAGAAAGTACAAAGTCCAGATACAGTTTTGTTACTGGTTTTCTACGGGACAGTGAACACTTCCTTTGTTGTTCATTGTGAGAAGGAAGTCATAAGAATATTAGAACAAAGGGAGAAAATCTCGCACGGCTTTTCTAAGGAGCCAGCTTACAGTTCATGTGGATGCCAGTTGGTTGAAGGTAAAGAGACCTCAGACCTCTTGAATTCAGTTGGAATTATTTTGAATTGCATGAGGATGCCATTTCATCACCCTTTTACATCTAAGTGAAAACAACCCTTGTGTCTTTTTCATTTTCATTTCACCCTCGATACCGATAACTCGTTTCAAGCCAAATTATAATGGACGAAGAGAAAAATTATGGCGATAAAAAATATATTTAAAAAAAAATACAAAAATCCAGATTATCAAAAAAAAAAAAAAAAATTAGAGGATAAATCTTTAGAAAATAATATGAATTGAATTGTACTCGGAAAAATTTTACTTTGTTACCAATATTTTATCATTGCACTTCAGTTATTTTCGGTTAAGCCCTTTCAAGATGGCCGTACTGGTAACAGTAAAGATATCCTCATTGAAAATGATAAATGAGGGGTATAAGGCGGAACCCCAGTACTTATGTATTATAAGAAGGGATAATTTCAACCCTCTCCATTTCCCTTAAGCGAATCGAAAAATATTTATCATTGAAAAAGATCAACAGCATCCTCTGGTGCTTTCCAAGATTTATACTTTAACATCTTCAGTATACCTATATAGCGCGAAGCATCCCTTTCACCGTGAAACGGATTAGTGAAGCAGATTGTTTGAACTTTTTGTCACAAGCCGCTATTTCATTTTGCCACGTTATAAAAGAGCTCAAAGTAATTTAGCATAGACTTAATTAAGGCACGCCTGAGGCTATCAAAAAAAAATTTCAATAGTCAGCTATAGTTTCTACTAATTATTATATAATCGAAAAACATGCTGTAACTCATCAGGAAAAATGTGTTGAATCTAGTAAAAAAAAGTATTATTTATGAGTATGACTTTATAAACACCATGGAGAATTGACCAAACCTGATCGTGTCCCATGGTAACAAAGTTCAACATTTTTTATCCTAAAGTTTGTTGAAATTCATAAAGAATCTTAACCCCCACCAATGCAAAATTTCGCTAACTTCCCTCGCACCCCTAATATTATCGCGATCGGAGTTTCGCTAAGTTGAACTTAATATTTGAGAAGCCAAACCTAATTTCTGCGCCACTAAGGGCCGCGATCCGATACGTCATTCTTTTATTCCATAAAATCGGCTCAAGTTTCCATTGTCAATAGTCTATACGTACGCTAAGACGTCAAAGAAACGTTAAATTTCCAAAATAAAAAATAACCACCCCGAAACCCATTTTGGTCCTTTTCTTTACTATAAAGAAAATTGTGATCCGCCTAAGTTTTGTTCCAAGAGACAGACAAAGAGAATCCCTAGAAATACCAGCAGGACAAAGATCATAAAATCGGTTCCAGATCAAAGGGCCAACCTGTAAGGTTTTACAGTGTAAAATAGTTCTCCGAATGAAAACCCAACAAAAAAGTCCAATACTAGAAAAACCAAAAATAATCTTATTTAAAATAATAATATCCAAAAGAAAGTACCCTTACGAACCCAAATCTATTTATAAGTCCCCATATAGACACGAATATTAAGAGTCCGAAAATTTGGTCCAGGTTCACTGAACGTCAGAGTAACACGATCAGCTACCGAAGTACAAGGTAACCAGACAGCCAGGTAGGTTTCTCTCTAGGTAGACAGGGTGGGTCAGTGGGTGGGTGAATAGGTGGATGGTTAAAGAGACACGGGAGTTTGTGATGATCAAAGTGTCCCACACCCCGTCAAATGCCTCACGCCTCGATCGCGTCCCAAGCATCACCGCCGACTGATACCAAGCTGGCCGAGGGTGTCACGCTGGATTTAATTAATGCAATTTAGCATCCATCCATCATCTCGCGCGTTTTTGCCTTAACGAGGGCTGCTCGTCGCGACGCCCAGGGCACTTTGATGACGAGCAAACCTCTCGATTATATCGACACCGAAGACCCCAAACCAACCCTCTCACGGTCATCCGGCCGTATTAAACTTCGTCATCGAAGGTTGGGCTTCCTATGTACCTGATTCCCTATACATACACCTTGAGAGCATCAGCTGGCGATACAACGAACAGTCTCATCCCTTATAAGCGTCCTTATAGAGACAATTTTAAAAAATATGGATCGATTTTGGTTTCGGTTCTATTAAAAAAATTAAATCACGACAAACATTTACCCGAATCTGTTTTTCTTGAATAGCTAAAGGTTTTCGATTCAATTAACCACGTTTTCAAAGATTTCGCTTTTGAGACGTATTCATTTCAAGGATCCAAACTGAAAGAGGGTCCAATTTCGTTTATCGATATGGTCTATTATTACTGTTTAATAAGGTATAGGAGATCCCAGCTGTGATTCTGTTATATTATCAAAATTCAATTCAAATATATATATATATATATATATATATATATATATATACACCTATAAATCTTTTATAGGAATTTAGGTATTTTTTTAAAACAAAAATCGTGGTTTTCGTCTATATGCGTAATACCGGTTGGGACTTTAGTAGAAATAGCACTGAAATAGCCAGACACGAAAAGGATAGTTACTACTGTACAAGATAGACCAGAGCATACTAAAGGTAACAGTGTATACAAGTATTACAGTTTCGGATTTCAAGCTCGTCCGCACGTACGAGGCAATGTCTTGTAATAACTGTTTCCGTTATGGCGCTTGTGTGCATTGGACAATAAAGCCACTCGGTTCAACCACACGTCATAAAGATCGAATACGAATCAATCGATAAGGGATCTTTTTTACTGGCACAGTAGCTCAACACGTTATCGTCACAAAATAACATTTATTTACATCCACGTTCGGTCTGACGATTCAATCGTACGATGCAACATTTTTTTTTTCGATTTTGGGCAGAACTTATTTTAGTAATTGTTACACTATTTCCAAAGTTAGGGAACGAACGCGGTTCAATTGTTAACTGCAGTCTCTAATTACGCAGCTGATCGTTCAATGTTTCCGGTCATTAGCTGCATTACGAGTGATTACAGTTGGTGTTCGCTTCGATACGTATATACATCATATATGTACGTCAGTCAAATTTAACTTTAGTAAATGGAAAAAGAGTTACGTCCAACTGGACAGTTTGGATGCAATGTAACTGGCAATGTAATGTCAAATTTAAATTTAGTAAATTTAATGGAAAAAAAAATTACGTCCAACTGGTCAGTTCGAATAAAATGTAACCTGCAACATAATACAATATATATTGCAACTAATGTATTCAATAACAATGATCACGAATTTTACTATATAAACTAAAGCTCGACCTAGGATCATTTCGGTGCTTCTTTCCAAGGCCTACCAACCGCATTCTAACGAAATTTGATATGGATACAACATATATCCACAGGTAAATTTAATCAAATTGCAATTATCATATATTCTGTTATAGGATATTAAGTGGCTTTAATTAATTTATTAACTGTACGAATAATAAATCGAATTTAAATTAGCCGAGAAATTAATAGAATGACTGAAAGCCAGATTCGCAGTACGTAATGAAATATTTTAGAACGATAAAAATAAATTTTTTTCTTATTTATACACAATAAAACTTTAAGCATGATTCATACGATTCAGCGTAGAACCAGTGGCAGTGGCGTAACAGTTCAAATGTTCTCAGCGGAGCATTAATCCAATAACTTTCAATGACTACTTCAATTAGTATGACCAAGGGTCTAATTGTACTGATAATTAAAGATCCTCAGTCACGAATGAACATGGCCAACCCATTATTCACGTAGAAGTTGATGACCTAATATTTTGGTACCAGTCACGTACAAATAGAATTTGGATTTCGTGCTTTAATGCTATATTGATTAATAAGTAAGCAGTACAACGTAATATAAAAATCATCGGATTGGTCATTGATAATTTTTATCATAATTTGTATGGTTTTAACAAATGATGACGTCACGAATTTATACGGCAACGGAGAGAATATTGTAGTGTGTGAGTATGAGAGAGAGAGAGAGAGATAGAGGAGAGCAAAGAGGACAGGATGGGGACGTCTTTCGGTTCTGTGCGGCTAGGGGAAATTGAAACAGCTAACCGTGTTGGGGTTGACGAGGGTGGTGAAAGCGTCGGAGTGAATGTGGAGAAAGGAGAGAAAAGCAGAAAGAGAGACGTACGGGGGAAGGGAGAGATTCAATCAAACGAACGCATATAAATGAGTCGTTTCAGGGCAAAACTGAATTATACGTGCTGGCTTATATATAACTATACAGGACATCAATACATGTACCGTATGTATATAATGCAGATAGATGCTGTCTAATAGAAAGTATATATACATTTATATATAATATATAGTATATATATTTATATAGTTTAG